GTAGTTTAGTATATATAGGTGTACAAGATCAGACTGGTCCTGTAGTCTTGATCTTGTCTACTCCAGGTAGTCCTGTACTCTTAGGCTCACTCTATATACTCTACTCTTGTCTCACTCTCTCTCTCTGCCCGTTCTGCAAGTTCTGACTATGTTCCAGTGCTTGCATTCTGTATTTCTGTTGTGTAGGATAGTTGTAGCCTGGGTCCCCTTGCTGAGCCTTCGGGTCCCCTCTACACTGTCGCTGACAGGTAGGCTACATACACTTTCTTTCTAGAACAGGTTACAACTTCTAGAACAATTAGAATAGGTTCTGAGGAGGCTAGAGGTATGTAGTTAGTAAAAGCCTCTTAGATAGAGGTTTACACATATTAAGCTAAGTCTGCTTGTAACTACTAATCCAGTAGGACAGTAGGGGTGGCAGTCAGTATGAGAGAGTCTATGTTTACACTACAAAGGAATCAACACTAAACTAAAAGAGGTAATAAATAAAAGAAGGGTGTCAAAAGTTTAAAAGGGTTTAGAAAGTTTAAAATTTAAAAATGTAAAAGGGTTGGGACAAAGAAAAGAGATTAACACAATAGTGAGTACTGATGCCCAAAACATAGGAGAGTTGTAGAGTAGTAATAGGTAGTCTTAATCTGATGTTAGTAACAGTGTAGAGAGGACCTAAAGGCTTAGTAAGGGGACCTAGGCTACAACTATCCTACACAACAGAAATACAGAATGTAAGTACTAGAACATAGTTGGAACTTGTAGAACAGACATAGAGAGAGTGTGAGACAAGAGTAGAGTATATAGAGTGAGCCTAAGAGTACAGGACTACCTGGAGTAGATAAGATCAAGACTATAGGACCAGTCTAATCTTGTACACTTATATATACTAAACTACACAAGAGTACTCAGAGAGTATAAGCTACTAAGAATGATGAACTATAAAGAATGAAAGAAAGGAAGGTCAAAGATAAAGGTACAAAGAATGAAGGGATGGACAAAGGGTAAGAGACTATAGAATGAGCAAAGAATGAAGGGGTGGTCAAAGGAACAGAATAATGAAGTAAGGAGGGGTAGTAGTAAGAGTCAGCATACATATAGTTCATAGACAGTGCCCCTGAGGGACAGAAGTCCTGAGTTCCAGTATGGAAGGGTGTAGAACCCTCAGAACTGAAGGTACAAGAGTAGAGAACTGTAACATATTAATGATGCATTAGTATTTTCAATAATAACATGTCTGTGGTACTAAGTATTTCTAGACAGCTATATTGCCTTTTCCTGAACAGAAATTAAGGCTTTCATATTTTGTGTTGTGTGCCCTTCAGGACATTTTTACAGATTCTTATTATGAGAGTTGAGTAGAGGGCAGAGTAGTGACAATATATTAATCACTGAGTTCTCCTTATTTGGATAAATTCGAGAAGAAACAAGATGTTAGATCATGTCTGCTTTCTTGCTGTGAGATGAGCTTATTAGTGTCAGCCAGAGAGATATTATGTTTACACTTTTATTGATCTAGCTACATATTCACCAATCCGGTCCGATCCACTCAAAAACCACTCACTGCTTTCGAATCAATCCAATCCAACTAACACAACTCAATACATAGACCTAAACGTCGTATCCAAAGGCGGACGTCCATACATCGACTCTGGCACAGGCTTATTTTCCAGTACGTTCTCAATGCGCTCAAGGACGTCGTGTGTGAGTTTGGGAAGGACGTCAAGCGCTTTGAGATTATCGACGACTTGCTCGGGGCGAGAGGCGCCGAGGATGACGGTGCTTGTACTGGGCTGTTTAGCGACCCAGGCGAGGGCGAGATGGGAGAGTTTGCAGTTTAATTCTGCCGGTGGTGGTGATTAGTATTTAGAGCGTATATGAGTACAAGGCTAGGGAAGTGAGGGAGAACAGGAGGGCAGGGGAAGGAGGTGAAGAGTATAAACACACCTTTCTCAGCAATCTCTGTCAACTGGTCTATCTTTGCAAATGTCTTCTTGCCTTCTTCGGTATTCCAGCCGTCGATCACCTCTTTGAAGAAATTCTTGTGTGTATCGAAGCGTGATCCCGCTGGAACATTACCACCTTTATACTGTAATATACACATACATCCTTGAGACTAAAAGAGAATCGAATTCGGTGTTTGCATACCTTTCCTGTGAGTAGACCACCGCCGAGTCCTGAGAAGACGGTTGTACCGATACCGTATTTGGCGTATATTGGACTACAGAAATTGTAAATGATAAGGCATCATTAGTCCTGCAGGGAAGAATGTACATACGCGTATTCGCCCTCTGGACGCGCGCGGGAGAACATACTTCACCGATCGCAAATGAGTGAGCTGCAGCCTGAAAGTTTAATGATGAGACTCGGACATGAACGTACTGATGCCTGCATTGTTCAGCAATTGGCGGTATGAGATTCAATTTATCTGCGACGTCTGCAAGATCACACAGTACAGTTAAGCTCCCCTGTTACTATAAGAAAACGAATCAAGGACATACGATACGCCTCCTCAATCTCTCTTGCAGTCCATTCTGATGTCGCCCAATAGAACGCCTATTAACCAATTTACGATCAACACATTGTTTTAGAATAAATATGTAGACTTTATTTAGACTCACCCAGCCCTGGTCTATGACGTAGTTGAACGCGCGTACAGTTTCTTCCATGGGAACTGCAAGGTGCGGAAGAGACCTCGTTCAGCTGCTCTGTTAACCGGAAGCAGTCCTGTTGAAGAGGATGCTCACCTGATCTATCCGGCCGGTGTGCGAAGATAATGTCAACGTAGTCCATTTGGAGGCGTTTGAGACATGCTTGAGTACCCTCGATGATGCTACAATAAGTTGATTTCAGAGTAATTTAGTCTGTATGTTCATTGGTAAGAAAGAGACAGGCGTACTGTTTACGTGAGAGACCACCTGCGTTAGGGCCTTTCCCTGGCCCCCAAAAGAGTTTAGTTGAAATAACGAGCGATGATCGCTCTATTCCCAGTTCCTTGAACACTCGTCCCCTAATGATAACGTAGCATTTTTTTAATGATCCTCCAGATTGTGCGGCAAGGCAAGGTGGAAGGCTTGAAACTGGTGCATACATTTCCTCTTCTGACTTTCCAGCCTCATACCCTTCAGCTGTGTCAAACATGTTAATTCCATGTTCGAAGGCCGTTTTGATTATGTCCTGTGGCCCATTCACAGGCTATCAGTGTCAAGGGTAATATTAAGTCACGAAACCTCTTTGCGGCACCTTGACAGGGTCACCCTTGACAGTCCCTCCGATAGTCAGCCCTTCAAGCGAGTTGTGAGTACTTTGACGATTCGCCTTATCAAGCGAGAAGGTACTCACATCCACCGAGCGAGAATACCGGCACACGCAGCCCACTAGGCCCAAGGCGACGGAAAATCATGTTCTTAGGGTCGTATTGCATAGTTCCTCTCTAGGTCTAGATAATTTGCAAATATCGAATGAAACGGGTCGGCGTGGAAACAGGAACAAAGTGGAGAGCGTTTTACCTGTGCAAAGTGGTATGAGGCGCCCCGCTTATATAGTTTTCTACGCTACGAAGAGGGCTTCACATGGCCTCTTTAAACCTGCACCCTTTTAATAGCAGATTGGTAATTGAGAAGCTTAAGTGAGAAAAGAATAGCATGACAGGGTGAATTCAAGTTGCTTCCATTAGAATATTAACCGAGGTTACTCCTTTCTTTCCCCTGCTTTGCACTTGTTTGTATTATTACTTAAAACGGTTCATTTGCTCTTTCGTTTTCTTAAACTCGATCACTAAGAACCAGCGAAGCTGTAACCCTCCAGGACTCAATACTCCATGTATCTATTCCAGGGTAAGAATATTAAGTTTAGTTCACAACTAATATTAACAATTCCTTATAAAGATCGCGTATGGAATTGCTAGGATTTGCTATGCTTTGCAGACTTCCGATTGAAGTACTGTAAAGAGTTTGATGATATAGTCGAATTCAGTAGTTTGCAGACAATATCTTTGCGTTGTACCAACTCTATAAGGAACAGTGATCGAAAGTAACAAGCTTTTGAGATCAACAACCATCTGTGCACAAGACATGAGTCAAAGCCAAGGGTCTGGAAATGTGTCAAGCGACACTAATGCAACACTTAAGGAGGAATCTGGCACAAATCCATTGAAACAAAACCGTGAGATTCAGGCCAAACTAGCAAATAGTACCACTAGGGTCAAGAAGAGTGCTGCTGAGTCCATTCTTAAGTCTGTGGTTGAGGAGGTACGGCAGACTTTTAAGCGCGAAAGTGGGACAGACAAGGAGTCATCTCCAAGTCACAGTAGAAGCACAAGCCAAGATCAGGAGTCCATAAGCTCAAAGAAGTGATAGACAATATTGTCTACATGATGTTCTATGAACTCAGAGGGCCTAACATAGTTATTATTCAATGATAATGTATTAGCTTTCTCTACAATGACATGTCCGCAATGCCAAACTTTACAGCTATATAGTAATTTATGAACGGAGTTCAAGACTTTCCTAGTATTTCATGCTGTGTGCCCTTCAGGAAACACTTACAGATTCTAATATGAGTGATGAGTAAAGGATGGAGGTAGTGGTAATATATCATTCATTAAGTTCTCTTATTCTAGACACATTTTAGGAGAAGACAAAGATGCAATTGGATGACTGCCCTTTCTCTCCCAAACGAGCTTGCAAGATAAGAATTTTGTCAGTCAGGTGTTATGGTGCTTACATGTGTTTTTGTCTCTGATCGTTATGTCATTGTCTCTGATCGACGCGGCTTTGAGGCTCTACTTGTCTTCTTCCATCATCGTATTGAACCTTTTTCGCGTTCTGCTTATCGCTTGTTGCCTTCAGATGTCATTCGTGAGAGCTATATGCGCCGTGATAGAGCGCATCGCCCCGTTACGACTAGCAGAATCCTGGGACAATGTTCGTGCACTTCAAGCTTGAGAACTCTTGCTCTAGGGATATAAAACTAAAATAGAAAATATATGAATGCTGTTGTTTTACAGGTTGGGCTTTTACTAGGTTAGTAAAAAGAACGCTGGATCCGTTGAAATTTTAAAAAGCTCACATCACTCCCTTTTCCCTTTCGAGTTTGTAGAAGCACCACCAATTCACTCTAACAAGAGGATCTTATTGACGATCGAGTTCGTACGATTCTATACTTTTCTCCGTACACGTCACGCTCAGCGATACACCGTACAGCATCACTCCCACAGTAGCTCAAGAAGCCATCTCTTCACAAGCCAGTCTCATCATCTCGTACCACCCACCAATCTTTCGGCCACTCTCTGCTCTAACGCTTACAAATCCACTGCAACGGTCCCTTCTCCAGCTAGCACAAGCAGGAATCAGTGTGTATTCCCCGCACTCTGCACTGGATTCTGTGCATGGAGGAATCAACGACTGGCTTGCACGTGCGTTTGTGGATAGTAATGTGGAACCCGACGTGAAGTGCTTAGAGGATAAGAATGACGAACGCGGTGGAACGGGACGATTACTTACTCTTCCTGGACCTGGGTTGTCGATCTTGGATGCTGTGAAGCGCATCAAGCTTTACTTGGGTATGAACGGACAGGGTAGGTCTTATCTTACATTAACGAAGGACATGAAGGATTGGGCTTATCTAACATTTTGTCATGCACTAACATTTCACAGTACAAGTATGTACTCCGTATGAGAAGGAGCGGAAAATCAAAACAGTCGCCATTTGTGCCGGTTCGGGAGGCTCCATGCTTGGTGGTGTCGATGCCGACCTATACTTCACTGGAGAAATGCAGCATGTACGCGATTCTCGCGCTTATATCCTTAATCTAACAAATTTCGACTGACCGTAATTTGGATATAGCACGACGTCCTAGCGGCCAGGGCAATGAACCGCTACGTCATCCTTTGTATGTTTCTACTATCTCCCTTTTATTTGTCCAAGATAATCTCCTTTTACTAATTTTCTCCTCATCTTGCCTCCAGGTGGACACACGAACACCGAACGTGGATACCTTCCAATACTCAAACAAAAGCTTCTTGCGGAAACAAGCAAAGACCAAGCACTTGCAGGACTGGATATTCAAATCAGTCAAACAGACGAGCATCCACTTGTCGATCATTAGTATGCCCAATGTATCAACTATATACTTTCAATCACACAACACATCAGTTCGGATTGTAGAAAGTGAAGGTAATTCTAGGTATGGGAACAAGATAAAGGGAGAGCCACCAGGACAAGGAAATGGGTCTAAAAAGACATCATCGAATACGAGAAGTCTACAGAGGTACAGGCGCCTTGTTCTCTTTTTGTGCTATAATGGAAAATTATAAGTTCCACAATCCAACTAAGAGCCCGAAAAAGAAAACTCTTACCCAACGTAATTCGATCACCCAACGACAATGCAATGCCCTGCGTTTTACTTCGGATCCTAACATGTCCCGTAATCGCGCCCGTATCCGTCTTCTCGATACTGAGGTTTGCGAGTGCGTCTTCACCGAAGAGACTGCGTGCATATAGGTTGGCTGAGAGGAAAGCACAGTCACCTGACATTGCTCCCTCTGGCGTAAGACATGCCATATTCGTTGATTTCATTATGTGTCGAAGGTATCCCCGCAGATCACTGCAAAAATACAAACAGGGCCGTTAATAAGCTGATTTTAAGCATCAAGTTTACGAATAAGGCGTACGTTATGGAGGTCGTGACATTCACGCGGTTCTCCCATTCAAACTCAGTCCACATACTACGGAATTGCGCTTCGTTACAGTACGCAGGCTTAATGTAGTCCATAATATCGATATGGATATCGTTCAATACGACGCATGCTTCCTCAAGGCCTCCTCCCTCCCAGAGGATGTTGCCGAAAATCACGCCTGTCTCCGTTGATGAAACCTGTAGCAGCATTATTCATAAGAGGCAATTCTAAGATGAGCAAGTAAGTAGCGAAGACACACTTTAATGGTTGCCTTGATGCTGAGGAAACTATGTGGAGCAAGGGTATGTACAGTCGGACGTTCGACCAGTTTGAGGTCACCAAGCGTCGCAAAATCCAAAACAAGGTTTTGTAATACGCCCGAGGTCTGGTTGACCAGCAGCACATCTGCACGAGCAAATCAAAAAGCGCAAAATCAGCGCCTGTCTACGTTTGAAAATCGCGGGACATACCCAGCAAGATGTCGAATCCAGCGACCTTGACATACGCTTCTGCATATATGGCGTCGGAGAAGCCTTCAATTCCTATCAGTAAATCCTGCTTTTAAGCGCTGAAGGGGGAAAAAAGTACCAGTCAATTGTGAGATCCTGCTCAAGCTCGAGATGAAGTCTTCCTGGACTTCTGTTGCTCCAGTGGCGCGTCCGACGTCTTCATCGTACTACAGTACCGATTTTTATGTCACAGGAGCTAATTTTACTATTCCAATTGCACTCACGTCAAGGACATCATCCGCCGTCTTCTTTGAGAATTGTCTAAACGTGAGCAAGTCATCCACTTGTACAACGTTCGTCTTCGCTTCCTTTTCTTTCTTCTCCAATGCCTTTTTCTATATTCATTTCGATTTCATTCATCAGCATTCATCGACATTATCTTGGGAAAAGGAATGAGTACGTACCTCCTGAGCGTTGATCATCTTGCTATACGCAGCCTTTGTATCCTTGAGGAACACTTCTTCGGCAGCATCCTTGATCTTCAACTCGCTCAGTGTTTGAAGGCAGTTCATAATACGTTCTTGTGAATCCTCATCTATTGGGATCGTTACGAATTTAGATTGCCCGACTCGGATGACTGAGGTCATTATCAGCATAGCCTAATAGAGTGTGAATCAATCAACATCCAAGAAATTCAATGAAGATGATAGCGCACCTCAGCACGGAGTGCATTTGATGCTCCAGCATCTGACGAAATCTCAGAGAATCGTAATACAAGTTTAGTTAATGTTGAAGCGAGTACGGCGCCAGTGTAGAAATCGCCTTGGAGAATGAGTGCTAGAATGTCCCAATGATGAGTTCTTGATACTTGACCGAAAGGCAACAAAACATACTCCGCAAAGGAGGCTTCGCAGCAGCTTTAATAGCCTCCAACCTCGCAGACGACGTACTCGTATACGCAGACTCGGTTGCATACGTCCCATCCGCCAAAACTCGCGGCTTCGTCGTCCCAGTTTTCGTTTCTCCGGTCTTCTCGTCCTCCTCATCACCTCCCGCCTCGTCGAGTAGCCGTTGTTCTGAAGCAAGAATCGGAATTTCTCCGAGAACGACGCGCAGAGCTTGGAAGACCGATTGAATTGCAGATGGGTCTGCGCAGTATTCGCCGACAATCCAGAGCGCTCCACGGAAGACTTTGCCGGATTTGATTTCAGGCAATGTCTGTATGAGTTTCTCCGTGATTGTGGGACGGAGGTCGGGGAACTTTTCGACTACCTCACTATGAAGGGATTTAGCTTGACATATCATATGGAAAGGAAAGTCACCTACCGAACGAAGGCGACAACATCCACTGCGGCTGGATTGTTCGACTCGCCCAGAAATTCCATGAGGGCGTGTATGACGCTCGCTGCGACCTCCGAGAATTTGACAGCACAGACATGGATGGATTGAATAAGAAGCTGACGGTATTCTGCAATCTATTCAAACATCAGCGCACATTGATAAAACCGTAGCATTAGGTCCCCATACCTTCTCATAATCCTCGGTCATCGTACGTTGGAGCTGCTTCTTGAGGAAAAGTACAACTTCCTCGACATTCCTGCTTGTAACCATGGCCAGGCTTATACTGATGGCCTTTCGTCGTACTTCCAGGTCAGGACTATGCCAGTGTCAGTATCATGAGAAAGAGAGAAAGTAGATGGGCTTACCTTGAAAGGACACGAAGAATGTCCATCACAAGGGAGTCGATAACATGTTCGTGCTTTTGACGGAGGACCTCTAGTCGGTCGAGAACGATCAATTTTACATTGTTGTCCGACTCCTTTACAGCCAAGTCAATGAAACATGAAGCAGCAGCTAAGACCAAAGTCACTCATCAAGAATCTAGAAAATATAGAATTGGAATGATGCTCACCTTTCACAGCCGCCGGGTTCTGTGTTAAGCTAGTGAGTGTCGTGGCCGCCTCATATTTGACCGAATGCGATGACGCGGACAGTAGCTCGAAAATTAACCGAATATATCTCGGCCGATGTGCCGAATCGCTCTTGCAATCCAGTCGGATGACCTCAATGATACTCAACTGGAGCTGCTCGTCGAACCCGGGAATCTGATCATACACGCTTAACACATATTCAACGGCACGAGGCATAGCACAATTTGCAAGGAAGACGAAGGCATTGCGTTTGCAACTTGCATCGCTCTCTGCAGCAAGGAAAGTTTGAATAAGTTCTGGTGCGTCAGGAATAAGATGTTCGAAAGCGCGATAGATCGAATAGACAGCGAATACGGCGTTTTTGCGCACGTAGGAGTGCCTGTGTTCAAGGCATGATCGACAAGAGGGTATGAGTGGTTCCAAAAGCTCTGCATCTTTGGCAATTTTTTGGAGGAAGCGTAATGTTGCACCGCGAATATACTCGTTCGGATGTTGCTGAATGGAAGGTCAGCAACAACTTGGATACAGCAATTAAGCTCTCGTTCACTCACTAAGTCGTTTCGAATAGCATTGCTAGACTCATCATCTCAGCGTTGAATCATACTGTAAAGAAGCTCGCAACATACCAGACAAGGATCATCTCTTGCTTCAGCTTGCCATTCTCATCGTACTTTGGGCAAACTTCCCAATAGAAGTGAAGCAACTTCTTCAGTTGCTTATTCTTGGATGGCATCACATATTGAATTATAGACATTAACAATTGGGGCTATTTTCCATTCCATTTCAAGCTCAATTTCTCTCCCATTCACATAATGCAAGAAGGGGACGAACCTGTGAGTTCCCATTAACTGTTGACACAATGATCTTGCGTAGCGTGTCGATTTTGACTTCGTCTGAGCCCTTCTGGAGGGCAGAACGCAGTTCCTGCGTCGTCGGAGTCTCCGAGCTGTCTTCAAAGACAATTGTGTGGCATATTGCGTCCGGTGAAGCCATGATTTGCTGGACGTGACCGACGAGCAAGGAGAACAGGAAATTAAGAGGTGAACTTTGTAGCGCGTACACTCGACGCGCTGCCACGACGTCTGCCGGAGTTTGCCGGACTACCAATTAATTCATTATTATTATTGATGCAGTATTTTCTATACCGATATATATGTTCATAAATCGGACCAAGGTATGGTATGGTTAGAGTCTTGTATTATTCAAAGTATTCAATGTAGGAGTAGGCAAAAGGGCAATACAGCTTATATTGTACAAGAAACCACTGGTGAACACAACAGAAATTCAGCCATAGAATGCTCCGTCAACAAGATATAATACGCCGTTGGCAGCCTGGGTAATTGGAAAGAAACGTTTAACAAGGAAACGAGGAAGAGAAAAAGTTACTCACCTCGTGTTTGCCCACCACCGAAATCTTATCATTGAGGACGACTTGTTGCCAGTCAGGCTTATCAGAGTCAGCCGCATCGGATTTCGCGCTGACTGTGACGGTAATACCCTCCAGCAGTGTTTCGTGCTTTGAAGATGGAGAGAGGCTTGTGATGGTTTGCTGAACACAAAAATCAGCCATATGTTCAGTAAGAACCGGAGGTCAGAGACATACTGGTACTATATGTGCACTAATCCATCGTTCGACATTCTCCCGCGAACGTGCATCAAACTCTTCTTCAGAAATAACAATTCCATCATCTACGGGGGCAGGTCCTTGGTGGCTAAAGTGATTTTGTCTGTCAGCCTCTCCAGAGAAAGAGTTTACTTCCAGAACGACTCACGGCTTGCGAGGTAGCGCTATAACCGCCTTATTCGTCGGAGCAAACACTGTAATTCGCGCATCTTCACGTTTCAATAGTTCTCCAACATGTGTTTCCCGCGCATAGGAATAAAATATCGAGGCTGAAGTTTGTACAGTTAGGATGTCGGAAAGCATGAGGCCCGTGTTCGTGTGGAATTCCGAGCTCGGGTTCATTCCGATATTGGTCTGCTCTGTGTTGGAAGGATTGGATGGTTCTTGCATGATGGTTAAGCCTGCTAGGAATGAGGAGAACTTGAGAGCAAGGTTTGTGAGTAGCATAATGAGAGATGAGCTTGGAGCTGCAACGAGATGAGGGTGACTTATGACGAAAGGAGGTGACGGTGGCACGCGAGCTGTGCGCTTTCTCCCGAACCAAACACCAGCCTGGTCTACTCGTCGGATGCACGACTGGTACAAGTGTGTACATCTCATGAAACAGTGCACAAATTCTCAATAATATCTTCACTGGTCTGCCTTCTGCTGGTCTTCATGTACTTCTGTGTCACTGAAAGTTAGCTGCAAAATACTCCTAGTTCCTGCCGTGCCAGTGGTATGAGCTTCCTATTACACCCTCATTCCTATCTCATTCCAACACTCTACGGCCTAATTTCTCCCCTCAAAGCTGCCAGGATTCAGCAACACGCCATGATGAATCTTTGCAGCCTAAGCTGCTATTAGCTTATGCATACTTCCAGTTTCGACACGTGTATACTCCTATCGAACAGACTACAAGGAACGAATTTAATTAACAAGCACACCTAGACACAACTGGACAGCAAGAAAAGAAAATGCCTTTCTTTTATCCTGCTTCTCTCAGCCTCTGTGTTCTTGCACACTCTTGGCGGGTGTAAGTGTATTATTAACTTCATATATAGTGCGTCGTCTGCAGGGCTCACTTTGGGAGAAATAATCAATGGCGACTTGGTCAGTGTTAACACAGCACCATTCCACTGCATGCTTCTCCAATGAACCACACGTCATGGTTGGTTCTAGGTACAAGACCATCCAATCTTGAGTTGCTCACAGCACTATGCTCATTAACAAGCCACTTGAAAAAGGACATCGCAGTCGGATACTAAAGACTCTGCTTCCTGCAGTGTTCAAACACCGTCTTGACCCACGAGAATAGCTTGAAGAAAGGGGCTGCTTTGTAGAGGCAGACGAAAGGACTAGCAGCAGAAGATGAAGAAGAAAAGGAACGAGCACTTAACAAACCATGCGCTAACAACAATGCTGCTTGGGGTCTGACTCAAGTACTCAGTACTTTAAATTGCGTCCTATTCTGTCGCTCTCCTAATGCACGGTGCACCTCCCATTAAACTCATATTTTAACTCTCTGGCCTGGCACAGCTCCAATGCTCCCAGATTCATCACTGCTTCCGGCGGTAGCTGGGCTCCTGGGTACTGTTTTTTTCACCCGCTTCAATCTTGCACCAGCCGGAAAAGCAATTTATTCAGCATTTTCCTGTGACCCTTACCAAATTCTCGTGAGTACAGGAACTTCGCTCCCTGCCTACGTGACTCAAATATACCTTGTGCAACCTTTTGATTTGACACTTAGGAGGTGGTGATGGAGGTGGTTCATGACAAAAACAAGGCACCAGAACACTTGGAACACGCCTCTGGGTGCCTCGAATATCGAACGAAGAAGACACTTTCATAGCCCACACGTCAGGAGAAAGTCAAAATTATTATATACTCTTATATGTATCTAAAATATGTAAAAAAACAATATTATCCATAATGACATTTATTGCACCCCTCATTGGATAAGATATATAAAAGATACTATAAGGTTGTAATAAGATAGATTTATATTATGAGAATTAATAAACATTACATGTCTTTACAATAGGGATATAAGAATTATAGTTCTTAGGAAAGTCTATAATGGTATATATTGCACCCCTCTTTTGATATGGCATAATATTTCTTATGCTATCTTATAATCCTTATATAAGTTAATTTACAGCTTATATCTTATCTGAATGGCTTATTATACAATATATATTTTATTTAAATATTTTATTCTTTACTAACAACGATACATAATATTAATACATTATGATAGGAGCAAAAGTATCACTACCTTATCAAATCACAACAACTGATAGACGTACCGTGGGTATTCATCTCCTCGTGCTCTTTCTTCCCCTGCTTCGCGAGTTCGTCCCAGTACTTAGGTTCCTCTACAAAACAGCGAACGCCATTTGTTGTGAGATCGTTTTGG